AATATCAGGTCACGTCGGGTAAATAGACACCAAACATGTCAAGCTTTAAAATTGCGCGCACCCGCGAAATCGCAGAAAACTACCATACCCAAAATTGGCCATAGGCGACACCTTAAAAGCTTTTACCGCTCATCAGTGTAGTGTTATCAGTGATTGATGGCCCTACCTTATTGCTCTCACTCCGACGTTTGCGGCGATATGTAACATGTGTGGCGTAATGGGCGCAATCGTCTTTTTTGCACGTATGCTCCCCCGACGCATGTTTACATGCGTGTATGTAGGGGTGGGGACTTAAAAAAAAAAAAAATTATTCTTTTTTATGTGTAAGTTTAAATTTTTTTTGGGGGGGGGGACTTGAATTTTTGTTTCCTTTTTTTTTCCACTAAACTTTATTGCAATCACATACAGGGGGCTAATTAGATGTCCGCTCAGACACGCCCCCTCGCTCGTTTTTTTACTACGGCCGGCCCGGAGGCAGTTAAAGTCAAATTTGTTTCCCCTCCCCCCAATGTTAAGTAAAACACTTACCTTAAATGATGTCTCTTAATCCGATCTTCCTCTTCTTTCCTGTCCTTTTCAGCCTTTCCCCCAGCGCTGTGGCGGGGCTCCCATCCAGCGCTGACTCCTCTGTCCTTGCTGGCACTTCCTGTCCCACGGTGTCTGCATGCGGGAGCACGCATCCATAGACTCCAAAGACTTATAGTCTCTCCTCGTCTCCCGGCCGAAAATCTGAACTGCGCATGCGCCCGCCCCAAGATGCTTTGCGGCCGCCCGAGCAGTCTCTGATTTTCGGAAGGGAGCACGCGGCGAAGATAGCGTAAGTTTAAACCACTTTTAAAAAAAACTTTTTGCATATATCTACTGCTTGCTAGCAGTAGATATATGCAAAAAAAACGGAGGGTTTAAAAACCCTTTAAGTAGCCTTGCTGACCATCAGGCTATAAACATTCCTGCTCACCCTAGTCCCTTTGTGGTATGAAGTAAATTAAAGGACTATAGTCGGTCTGCAAGGTAAACTGTTGACCTCACAGCTATGTTCTCCATTTTTCTGTTGCAGAAACATATGCTAGGACATATTTTTCTAGGGTAGAATACTTTCCTTCTACTGAATGAAACATTGATCACTTTACCATCTCTGTAGAGGCCACATAGCACTTCTAAAGTTGTCATAATCACTGTTCACTTGAGAAACATGTAATAAAGCTCTGGTTTACTGAAAATGAAACGAGTATCTCTGTGCAGGTATTTTCAATGGCCCCTCAGGGGTACCTTGTCAGCCTCTCTCATGGGAGGTAACTCATTTTTATAGAGCACAACAATGAGAAGCACATCACTAAATTCTTGAAATAAATACAGCTACCTATATATGACAAAACAATGACTGGCATGTTGTCTAAAACAAAATTTCTCTCCTTTCCAACCACTTAGGGAACTGGTTCAGTCCTGCTTTAATGAGTAAAAACTGTTCCCAGAGCCTCTGAGATGTCACTAAGTGATCTTATTACCCATAATTTTATGGTGTGCTCCGTGAATCAGCACAAACGTGGTTATAATGACTCAGCATCATTTAACACTACATCATAGTCATCCTAGCCCAACGATTTAACATGATAATTGGCCACTGTCACCATGTACGGTATGTTTCGAGGTTTGTGACCTCAGAAGATTAATAAATTTAAATGTTTCAGAAATGAAATCATTTTTGGGTCACGCCTTAATGACCAAGGCAACATGTGGGTTGAGAACCACTGCTCTAGACCATGGGTCTTAAACTCAATTTGCTCGGAGGCCACTAGACAAAATTTTGTTTCTCCCATGGGGGCCGCTTGCCAAATTTCATAAAATGTCATACTTCAAAGTAAAATGGAACTATATTCAGTACCAGTGTTAATGTCTGTGTGTGTTTATAATGTCAGTATTTGCATTTTTTATGGTTTCTTTGTATGCAATGGCAGTATATTTGTGTGATGGTTTGTGTGTGTGTGTGTATTGTCAGGATGTCTGAGTAGCGTCGTTATGCACTGTATGTTAATGTTTCTGTGTGTCAGATCAGTGTGCATATGTGTGCAGTTTCAGTATGTGTGTGCTCCCCCCCCACAGGTTTTAATTGTATTCATAGAGGACTAAAAGATTCACACAGAAATATGCAGACGCACAGGCATGCGCACATACAAAAAGATGCACAAAAAAACCCCCCCCTGAATTACACGCCTGGGAAACACACACAATAATACACAAAAAAAAACACAAAGCTCCCAACACACAGAAGTACACACATAATAACACACACACACACACACACACACACACACACACAGAGGGGCGTATCTGCCACGAGGCAAACAAGGTGTTTGCCTCGGACGGCAGATTCCAAGGGAGCGACAAAAATGCTGGGTTCTCAATGTACGGACCGCATACCTGACTTGCAGGAGCAGCTACACGGTGTGCATCTTTGTCGGATGCAGACCGTGTAGCTGAGTCTGCGCCGGCACTCGGATCCTTTCGGCCAGCGCTCTTTCAGTGAGCGCTGGCCAAAAGGATTGTGCAGGATTGATTGGTAAGGTCTGCAGCAGACCTCACCAATCAACCAACGAATCACCAGGGACCGGCGTGCCGCCTCACAGCCTCTCTTGGAGGAGGCAGGGGGCAGAGACACCGACGGAGGAGGTGGGAGGCGTCGCCGGAGCTCCAGTCAGGCGGCGAAGATGACAATGAGGCCAGGTCGGGCGCCGAGGATGAGGAGGCCGCCCAGTCGAGCGCCGAGTACAAGGAGGCCGTGTTCCAAAGAGGTCAGGCCGTGCAAGGTAAGAGGACTGTGCTGGCAGAGACCAGCATAGATTCTGCACAGCCCACCAAAGAGTCTCAGGTGTGCTGTGCAATACCCTTTGGTTGGCTCTGCAGGATCCGTAGGGGGCGTTGTCGGGTCTCAGGGGGGCTTTGCAGGATCCATAGTGTGCTCTGTTCCAAATTGGTACTTACAATTGTATTTATGGACCCAGTGGTTAGAGGGTGGGAGCGTTTCAGTGTGGCAGGTACCGTGGTGATGTAGGTGGAGTGGAGAAGGTTGTACCGCTGATGAGGCCCCCTTTAACCACTGTACCTTGTAACTCCCTCCCCATCTCTTAACACTGCTGCTGCCACAAATCCTCTCACAAGCAATAAACAAACGTTATTGCTTGTTTTTTCATAAACAACCTATTTATTGAAAAAACATAAGCAATAAAGTTTCTTTAAAAAAAGAGAGAAAAAAAAATACCTTGCTCCGATTAGGAGAATCGATTAGACATGAACACAGCAGAAAAGAGTAAAACAACGGCACATGCAGGCAGCAGCTGTTGCCAATCTAAAGTGGGCGGGGATGTGGATGTCGGGAGGACGTCATCCTGTAGTCCTGGCTCAGGTCGGGAGCGCGCACACAGACACCATGTAACATTCCAGAGAAGAGACAGTCAGCTGCAAAACGAAAGTTCTCCCCAGCATGAGAAGAGATAAGGATTTAAAAAGGAAGAGCAGCAAAGAGAAGAGAAACTACCATGGATTACAGTAAGGCACACATTACAGTATTAGTTTATGTTAAAAAATCTGAGGGTTTAATGTCACTTTAAGGTCCTTGATGTGATATCAACCACCAAAATACTCAGTATCTGCCCACACAGCCCCCAGCCACACAACACCGCCTCGGGGACTTGTAATCTAACATCAGATACTGAGTAACTAATGATGGACCCGTTAAGACAGTGATGCCATAACAAAGACGGCTCCCCACTGCACCTCAAGGACCCTAATACCCTGCTGGGCTGCAGTGACAAGAAACAGGAAAAATAGATAGAAAAAAGACAAAGAAGCCACAAAGGTAGAAACGAAAAGGAGTGCAAAGCAGGGGCGTCACGAGGCTGGGTGACACCCGGAGCGGTAACCGAGTGTCACCCCGCCGAGATGTCACTGCGCATGCGCGCGGCGTCACCACACGCATGCGCGATGACGTCATTGTGCACGGGCGGCAGTAATCTGATACCTGCTGGTGGCCATCTTGGTGATGGACGCCGGCAGAGAGAGGAGGGGACAGTCACCCGGCGGGATAAGGTATGCCGCCGGGTCCCCTCCTCTCTCCTGACACTGTCGGGCGGTCGGGCCATGACCGAGCGCCCGACTTTTCAGATGGGGGGTGACACCAGAATGACTGAGTCATTTTGGTGTCAACCCTCCAATGGTGTCACCCGGGTGCGAGTCGCACCCCCCTTGTGACGCCATCAGCATTGTAGTAACCATTTATAAATATTGATAAAAGTAATTATTGAGTTAATTATATATTTGTCAAACACATGTCAAACAATCTTGCATGGATACACCCTGGGTCCAAACTTCTACGCGTTTCGCTAAAAAGCTTCCTCAGGAAGATAGGAGGCTGCCTGTAATATTTAAATATCAAGGATGTAACCAAATATGACTATCCATAAGAATTGACAACAACAATTGCATCACATAATGAACATATAACAAACATCAAAAAATGCATAACCTTTTTATTAGGGTCTTAGTGGTGAATCAATCCGCATCTCCAATGGGACAAGACACGTAAACTCTTAGAAATTCATTTTTATTCTGATATTTTGATGAATAAATACAGATAAAAAGGAGGGGCCAATGTATAAGCCCGTTGGTTTCAATCCCACATCAATTTCCTAAACATAGTACAGTCTAAAATCACCATAGGCATGTAGCATCCCTGGACCACAGTAACAATTCCATATATCTGAGCATGACCTGTTGTCCATGCAATAATCAGGATTACCAATAAATATTATATTCTGATAAGGATAGTAAAAGTAGATATTGAAGGTAGTAATGTTACTTCATGAACTTGCCTGCACTGTCCCCTCCTGGCCAAGGGTCAACAGTCTTGCATAATAGCCTGCTTCATTTGTTTGGCTGCTTGTAGATGATGTAAGTGAAGGGAGGGCGTTCAGCCCCACACTCCGGGCTGGCTGCCTATAAATACAGAGCTTCTGTGTGTTGTGTTTAGATCTACTCCTGACTCTGAGCAGAGTTCTTGCTTCAACAGTGCTTGAACGGAACCCTCTCTGAGTCTTTTGCTCTTTTTCTAAACATCTTCTACTAATTGCTGACTTTCTGTGACTTCTTTGCGCCACCCAAAACAACTGAAACGCTGAAATGGAGTCCCAGGTGCGCCAGAACTACCACCGCGATTGCGAGGCTGCCATCAACCGTATGGTGAACTTGGAGCTGTACGCCTCCTACACCTACAGCTCTATAGTGAGTATTATTACGATACTGTATATAAGATATATTTCTTACTGCCCTTTCCTTATGCCTAGATTTTGTTGTATTTAACTTAACTTATTAAAGTGAACATTAGGCAATTTTGTTTGCTACAGCATTTATGACACTATAAGACACTGTAAGGGAATTTAGCAAAACAGGAGCAGACAAAATCTGGAGCAGCTGTGCATGACAGCCAATCAACATCCACCTTTCATTTTAAAAGCTTAAGTGAACAAACTGAAGAAAGAAGCTGATTGGTTGTGTGATGTTTGGGGAATTAGCTGGACCGCAGGACACAGGCTTTCTCAGACAAACTGCATTTATTTTTCACAGCAGCAACAATAAACAGTCATTTCCTTCAGTACAGCAAAACAACTTAAAAGATTGCTTCCTTCCGCATAGAAATAATACACTGTATTGTTTGCTTCCTTCAGCACAGGAAAAAATAACAGCCTCACCGGCTTGGAGGGTTTCAGTCCACAAGGTTATCACACTCTTAACTTCAGAGTTTCTCTCTCTCTCAGCCCACAGGCTCCCAGTAAAGTTCAGCTGCTTCAAAGCACCAGTACTTCCATCTGCTCCACAGCCTTGTCTGCAAACATTAATCAGGGCTTCTCTCTCTGTCTCTAGCTTCCTATCCTTTTGAACACACTTCCTGTAGCAACTGTTAACCCATTTCTGTCCCTTAAAGGGACCACAACCCGAACAAAGGGAAATATACACTTCTCCCAGGACCCATCTGCTGGTGTCCTGTACAGTTGCCATAGACAACTGTCCCAGATTTTGTCTGCCCCCGTTTTGATAAATGCCCCCCTGTGTGTCCTAAGATCCTTGTCTTTTAAAAACAAATTATGTAAAAAAAAAACCAATACGAGCACTTTCTGCAAGTATTTAGTCCTGTTTTCACCACTTGAAGATTCATTAACTGGGTGTAAGTAAGGCAAGGTTAGATGACACTTTTAGTACCAAGACTGACAATAAAGTTAAAGTGACACTAAACTCAGGAGTTAAATCTTAAAAATGCATTCAAATACCTAACTATGAACAAAAATGTATCTTATTTGTGTATCGGCTGCAGATCATCAAATCATCTCTGAATTCATGATGACACTGTCCTTCCTTCTGGAGGGTGGCTACTTTTCTTCCCCATGGTCCCTGTGTATTGTAAAGTAGACACCGCTCCAAACTCACTCCCGTGATTGACTGCTATCCCAATACAAATTGGTTAACTAAACATGAGATTGTAGTCCATCACAGGAGCAAGTTCGGAGCGGTGATTACTTTACACTACAACAAAAGTAGCCACCCTCCAGAAGAAAGGACAGTGTCAGCACCAATTCAGAGATTATTTGAAGATCTACAGCTGAGTAATACACAAATAAGCTAAATTGTCCAGGGGTCTGGTCCATTTTGTAGCAATGGTGAGTTTTTCCTAATTCAGAAACATTCTAGCTCCAGTTATATTCTGAGAGCATATGGGGATTTGTTCAGATGTACAGATGGCAAGAAGCTGGCAGAGAAAATGTATGTATTCACTGGCCATATATCTTTACCTTTTCTGACTTTGTGGAGAGACAGCAAATATAGTCAATGGCTCCCTGACACTATCTAGAAGCTACTATGTTATTTGAGATTTATGTTTCTGCCAGTGGCTGGTGGATCCCTAAGAAAAGTGCAGGACTTAGTTTAATATACTTGAAGGATTTTAGCAAACTTCAGGTTCTACCTGCTGCCTTTTGTATTGGAACTTCATAAATGGCAGAAGCCATTGTCATCTGGCTTGATATCCACTCCATAATATAATGTGAATATTTCTTAACATTATATAATCATTTCTGCAACACTTTGCTAGTAGTCAGCAATTACCAAAAGAGCACCTGTGACATCTAAAATAATTTCCCCATGATGCTTCACTCATGCCAGGACCTCTGCACTTCTCTATTTCAGGTTAATGGTTGCTTGCAGTACAGCTACAATTCTGTACGCATATGTGGCAATAGACAGACATGTCTCTTACAGAGAACAATGAAATGCACACATATAGGAACCAACCTTATCTTCTTCCCATCTTAGCCAATGTCTAAATTACATATACGCTCCTATTTTCACATATATCCTCTGGCAAGATGAGCATTTAAAAAGCAAATCATTGTTTTTTGTTGAGTAATACATTTCAGATACTGTATAATTTGTTAGACAAATAGTGAATTGTCCAGGCTGATGAGGAAGAGTATGAAATATGGAAGCTCCTTAGCTAAGTCTCTATGCCATCTTATGAGAGCAGATAAAGTTTATGAATATTGAGGGGAGTCTGTGATAAATTTAGCTCCTCAAATATAAGATTTTATAAAGTAATACATAATGCTGATTGATGAGCTTTTTTTTACTGGTATATCTGTGAAAACTGGTTTTACTGGTACATTTTTAACATTAAACCTCCATCTCCTTTCCTCCCTCCAGTCTTTCTTTTTTGATCGTGACGATGTCGCACTTCACCATGTGGCAGAGTTCTTCAAGAAACATAGCCACGAGGAGAGGGAGCATGCCGAGAAGTTCATGAAATATCAAAACAAGCGTGGGGGTCGCATTGTCCTGCAAGACATCAAGGTAAGAATGACCTGTAGCTTTGGACCTACAGATTCTGATGTTTGAGAAAAGAACATATTTTCACTGGCATGGGAAATTTTATGTTACGTAATGTGCCCTTTTCAGTGATTAGCAGGGATCAGGTGATCAAACAGGCTCCTCTCATTGCACATATGTTGTATAGTTAATATGGAAGTGCCCAGGAGTAGTTTCCAGGGGTCTGGTCCATTTTGTAGCAATGGTGAGTTTTTCCTAATTCAGAAACATTCTAGCTCCAGTTATATTCTGAGAGCATATGGGGATTTGTTCAGATGTACAGATGGCAAGAAGCTGGCAGAGAAAATGTATGTATTCACTGGCCATATATCTTTACCTTTTCTGACTTTGTGGAGAGACAGCAAATATAGTCAATGGCTCCCTGACACTATCTAGAAGCTACTATGTTATTTGAGATTTATGTTTCTGCCAGTGGCTGGTGGATCCCTAAGAAAAGTGCAGGACTTAGTTTAATATACTTGAAGGATTTTAGCAAACTTCAGGTTCTACCTGCTGCCTTTTGTATTGGAACTTCACATGGATTCCACTCACTTCCTTGCCACCTCCTACGTGCTGAATGGAATGGTCTTCTGCTTACCACTAGAAATAGACATGATCCAATAACTGTTTTCTGTTTACTGTAGGTGTATAGAGCATACAAGGAAGCCATTTTTTGCTAGTTTTAAAAGATCATAACTTGCTGAAAATAAATATCCTTTACTGTATATGGGTTGGACTTGATGGACGTATGTCTTTATTCAACCCCAAATACTATGTAACTATGTATGTTACCCAGGAGAAACTATTGCATAAACATTTTCACTTAAAACACTTCACGCAAACCTGTACATTTTTCATACTACTGACATGACTACTTATGCCTATTTGTTTTTTTTCCTCAGAAACCAGAGCGTGATGAGTGGGGTAACACCCTGGATGCCATGCAGGCTGCTTTGCAGCTGGAGAAGACTGTGAACCAGGCTCTTCTGGACCTGCACAAGCTAGCCACTGACAAAGTTGACCCTCATGTAAGTATCTGCTTCACATCCTTAGGCTTAAATGCAATTACTGCATACATTCCATCATTTTCAATCAATAGCAGGTAAAAAGTACAGAAAAAAAATACTCCTTACATCTTAATTCATTGTTTTGGTTCCTTACAACCATTTTCAAGTCCAAATGTGGAAATTGCTGTACCACTTATCTGTTCTTGTTTTAAAATGATGGACTATATTAAATAAAGAGCCATATTTGCATCTAAAGTTTTCTGTGCTGACCTTTTTAGACTAGACTTGAATGCGCCCTGGAGGTGACGGAGGGGTTCGGATGATACACCGTAGAGCAGCCAAAGAGTGGTCTATAAATACATATGACAATAGAGATGTGATTTTTTTTTAACTGGAATTATCAAGCAATGCAGAAAGTCATTTTGTGAGCAGAAAATATAGGCTAACCTGAGCACTACGAACAAATTACATTAGTGACTCTTTGAGCATCAGTCAACATAATGACTGTCTCCTTTGTGCAGCTAGCTTGAGAACATATTTCCCAGACTACAAAACTTTATGTTACACAGAAAGGATTAAATATATTATAGTACATTATATACATATGGCATACATGCGTGACTTTGTTTTATACTCTATAGTCATTTTAGCATAAAAATGATTTCATGGGACATAAATATAGAAATCGGAGGAATAGGAGAATTGAGGTGTTTCCCATAGCAAAACCAATATGATTAATTTAAAAGAATAAAATAAGTCAAGCTTGGTGAACTAAAGTTTAAATTTATACTGTAAAGTGACAGCTGTAATCTTCCCAGGAATGGATACCCGGATACCCCTTGTTATCCCACAATAAGAGATATACAGTACTGTATAAAACACTTCTATGACTTCTGCGCTCATATGTTGTATTAAAGTGTCCAGAAAGAATAGATGACAAACTGATTTTCAAACTTATATACCAAAAGGGCTTTTGGTGGTATATAAATCAGTCTGAAAAACTGTTTGACATTTATTAGTCATCATGGACACCTGTACAACAAACTGGTGATTTGTTTAATCTTGCAATCTGCATCGTTTAAAGGACAGTTGAAATCTAAATGGTTGCAACTTCAGTTTTTTTCATCTTTATTCAAAGGGCATTTAACAAAATTATCAATATGGCAGATCACAGAACATGATGCTGGAACTATAAGTAGTTTCATTGATGCAGAAGGAGGAAAGAAACAATGTTCAACAATTTATTTATATTATCTTATATCTTGTGTTTCCTTGCAGTCTGAGTGCCTGGAATGCATGACTAAATTCTAAAACTTGTTTTTCAGCTGTGTGACTTCTTGGAATCTCAATATCTGGAGGAACAAGTGAAGGATATTAAGCGTTTTGGAGATTACATCACCAACCTGAAGCGCCTTGGGGTGCCCCAGAATGGCATGGGCGAGTACCTGTTTGACAAGCATAGCCTGGAAGAGAGCAGCTAAGCTGTGTGCCACCCATGAGGATCCAACCACTCTACTTTCCATCTATATTCCTTTTACTATCTGTGTGACATGTATTCCTGAGGGTCTTACATTTTCTGTGATCCTATAATAATATAGCTGTAGCTGTGCTTGTCAGCAAGTTTCTAATAAAGTCTTTCAGCATGTATATTTATTTATTTACTTTAGTTGGTGTTCATAGATCTTGCAAGAGTAATACTGAATATACCTAGTTTTTCTATCCTTTGGTTGTATGAGAGGTTTTACCATTATTTTTATGAATTTAATGTCTTGCTTGTGCAGCTGCTACTTGGAAATGTGTGGTGTCATTAAGCTCTCAGTTCTGTTTTGCCCAGCTGTATCCTATTAAATGTATAGGAGACAATGCCATTCCCATTGCCTGAGCCCATATAGTTATTAACATAAACATTTTGGGAATGGCCCATGTTGCCACTTTATCAGAATATTTCTGTAATATGCCATCATATGTTGAGTTTTGTCTGTGCCATAATGCCCAACTCTTTTATTGTCCTCCTGTGAGTTTTGTTTCACAGCTTTGTTTACCTCCATTGTTGCAATAATCTGTCCTGGCTGACTGCACCTTTCTAGTGATGTTCCATAGAAATAAATGGAACCATCTCAGGAGTGTCTCCAGTCTCATGTGACAGCCAGTTCATTCTGCAGAGTGGCAGTGGGCATCCTCACAACATTTCCAGCTATGTAATTTTAGGGCTAAATATCTTCCATTCTCAGAATCTCCTTCCAACGTTTATATATATATTTAAGGATATATGTTGAAACCTACTGTAATGTACTACCATTTATGGAAGTTAGGTCTAGAGGCACTTTAAAGTAAACCTGTTCTGAGAGAAATACAGAGGCTGCCATTGCCATTTTTCTGGCTGCTCCTCGGTTCCAAATGTTCCGAGTCACTGAAATCAACTTGAACTTCTGTTCTGGATACTAGTGCTGGGTCAGTGTCTTAGCTTACTAAGTGAATGGCTTGATCTCCTACTGATGTCACTCAGCAGAGACAGAGACAGTGGTTTCAGCAGTGGCTCTTATCTTCTGTGGCTCTACCAGACACAAACATCTGCTTCAGCTACCTGCTTCACCACATGTAAATAACCAGGAACACCAATAATAATTAGTATAATTATGGGGAGAGGGGAAACACACTCTTTCCTATATTTAGAGCCGATGTGTGACATTGAAGCTGTCACACATTGGCTCTATAGAACGGGAAATAATTTCCTGATCTTCTTCCTGGAAAGAGCGGTGACTGTCAGTCACTGTTCCCCATAGGAATTCCCCCTCCCTGTTCCTCCCTCAGTGACTGGAGTGACTGATGGGGATGGGACGGGCACAGCTAGCTCTAGAGAGGCAGAGCCAGCTGTCAATCAGCCAGCGGGGTGGATCCAGACAAGCCGAAGGATTAGCTGAAGCTTCGGCTTAATCCTTTTAGTGAATAACACCCTCTTTAATAATAACACCCTAAGTGCCAAAATATTATTAAATATAAAGTGTCCTTAGTTATGAATAATTCCATTTCAAATACAAAAGTGACCACGTGATCTTTCACCAAACACGTCCTCCTCTGTGCCATCCTGACCCTATTGGCAAGCAACTAACCCGCTGCCGTATGACATTTTAAATAAGATCTTACTGCGATGGATAGTATCCCAAACAATATGGAGAGAACTCTGGACCTCCTCCTTAGTGCTTCCACACAATCAACCATCCAGTCTGCAGAGTGAAAAGAGGGACTCATGGAATAAAAAGACCTTTATTTTTTAAATGATAAAAACAAATGTACTCACGAATAAAGTACTCTAAACCCACACTATGTATTATGGGTTCAATCCAGTACCAGGCTCCCCACCTTCAGGAGGTGGGGAGTTCAAACACACAGAACGTATTGGTTTACTGTACTGTATGATATAGTGTATGAGTGGAGGGTTTCAGGTTCATAGTTTAATTTAGCGCCCTATATTTGTGGTGTTTTGGATATCTTCAAAATTTTTATACAACAGCTGGTAGTAGTTTATGCATTTTAGGGTAAGTGCAGAAATCTGGCATAGTATTTGACCCTTTTCTAGGGCCGCCAAAAGGGGGATACTGCTTGCCCTTCTGTAACGGGTTCAGACCCCATCGGGTCAGCAGGGGGACCGAGGCCCGGCTTGGAAACAGGCAGCAGAGCTGCCGCCTACAGCTCCTAACACTGTTCTGGAGCCAGCTGCATGCTCCAATCTCTGTCCCCTCCGATCCCCACTGCTCTCCCCTGCCTGTATCCGCAGAGGCAGCAGGGATAGGATAGGAGACAGAGCTCTGCAGCCGCGGCCCAGTGGGGAGGACCTGCTGTCAGGAGGCAGAGCAGCCATGATTTAGAGCAGAGGATGGGTCAATATGTGAAATATTTACCTATGCTTCCCTGATCACAGAGTGATCAGTATTTATCACTCGGTGTTTGTAAATAACTGAGGACATAGTGATTACTATGCTCCCAGTTATGAAGGAACAGGAAGTGCTCTAATCATCACATACTATGTGCTCAGTTTATGAATGAACAGGAGCACTCAGGACAGAGGCTTCCTGTCCATTCATAACTGGGGAGAGACAATGCCTCCTCAGTTTGTGAATGAACAGGAAGCCTCTGTACTGAGTATTACCTGTTCATTCAGTGCTGGGGCTGCACAAAAGGAGATTGAGGACTCTGTGTCCACAATCTCCTTTTCCATTTTAAAAGGGAAATAACGGGTCTGTTTACACCCCTAATGTTTCCCCAAAGGCTGCCGAAAGAAAAGTAAAGAATAATGAAGAAAAATAATTAATAATAAAAAAAAATAGTAAAACAAAATTACACCCAAACACACACAATGTGTACATGTGTAACTGTGTGCACCATATTGCGGCATTATCACTCGGTGTTTGTAAATAACTGAGGACATAGTGATTACTATGCTCCCAGTTATGAAGGAACAGGAAGTGCTCTAATCATCACATACTATGTGCTCAGTTTATGAATGAACAGGAGCACTCAGGACAGAGGCTTCCTGTCCATTCATAACTGGGGAGAGACAATGCCTCCTCAGTTTGTGAATGAACAGGAAGCCTCTGTACTGAGTATTACCTGTTCATTCAGTGCTGGGGCTGCACAAAAGGAGATTGAGGACTCTGTGTCCACAATCTCCTTTTCCATTTTAAAAGGGAAATAACGGGTCGGTTTACATCCCTAATGTTTCCCCAAAGGCTGCCGAAAGAAAAGTAAAGAATAATGAAGAAAAATAATTAATAATAAAAAAAAATAGTAAAACAAAATTACACCCAAACACACACAATGTGTACATGTGTAACTGTGTGCACCATATTGCGGCATACATTATGCACATGCGCTGCGTAGTTAGAACACACGGGTGTGCTTGATTTTTTCTTTTTTTTGTTTACTTTAAGAAAAAAAAATTCAGCACATTCCAAAACGATTAAATGTATGCCTGCATCATTTTATCGCAACACACTCCAATGCCACTGCAGATCAGGCATTGCCACAACACAGATTTTTAACACACGTTTTTTACAGTTCTGCCTACCATTTTGCAAAAAGGCTATCTAAAATGTACAAATACTGTATTTGTTATTAACGCAATACAGTTTTATCTTTTAGATTTAGTAGGAATCTTGTTAATCGTGGGGGGGTTTTAGTGCGCTGATAATGATTTTAGTGTATTTTGATAAACATTTGAGCAACTGTAGTGGGACCTAGTAGCCCCAATGCTACTGAACCTATGCTTTCAGAACATGTATGGTTTGGGGATCTTTCACAAAGTGTCTGGAAAGCTGAGGTCAAAAGTGGAACGCAAAGCCTGGCAGCAAAAGGGTTAAATATAACTGCTTATATATTTGTTGTGTAGAGTCCGTAATAAATCTCAGTATAAATACCTGTTTCCAAGCGATTGTGTGCTTTATTTTTGCAGATCACACTGGACCGGAACACAGGCACTAATGTGCCTGCGTCCCGGGTGCGGGCGATCGCACTGTGGGTGGGGGGCATGGCTGCGGTGCCATTGACTTCAATACAACCCCACACCCCCTCCAGCCCCTGA